AAGCAAAGAGAGGTAACCAAGTGGGTGTTCTTATCTCCGACAAAATTCTTGGTGGCTTCCGACGGAGTTATTCTCGGTATATCCATTGCCATTCCCGTGGATGACGGTGCATGATCCGGTCTGGCAAAAATCTGAGCTCAACGTCTTTAGACACTCCATTGATAGTGTTGGAACAAGCTTAAGTACTTTGGTTCGGTTTTTACACTTTATGAGTTTATGTTATCCGCATTGTAGTTGTAATAATCTATTGTTCACTACATTATAAACTCTACAGTGATTGATAAAACCTACACTTCTGATCCAGTTGCTTACACTTCCTCTACCTTTCTTGAAAATTTAAATGTGGAAGATCAATCTTGCTTTGCTTTTGTTGCTAATCAAAGCTTGTGGAGACACGATAAAAGAATTCGAAATGCAACTGTTCTTGGTAAGTTACTAGCTAATGCTCGGAAACATTCGTATAGGCCATTTGTGGATTAAAGAAATTAATTTCAGCAAGATTATCTTGATTCCTATATGCATAGACTTTTGAATTTTTTATTCATTTTGGCTGATATTTCTTTAACTTTTTCTGATAATATTTTCCATTTTACTTGTTGCTGACGCTGTGAAAGATTGGTATGCTGGAGCCATCTCTCAGCCTCAACTACTTCTGGCAGATCTTATTGAAGTTTTATTTCCATCCGGAAATTACACAACGACATATTTCAGAAATATTTCTAAGGTAGTCAACTCTCTTTCGTTTAATTTGAGGACAATTTTCGTGTACGCGTTTGTTTACTTTTAATGTAATAATGCAGAGGGAAGGAGTCGTAAACATTGGTCCTGAAATGTGTGACAGAGATACTGCCATGGAACCTATAATTGTAGCTTGCGAGTGAAATATTCTTAAAATTGATTTTTTTTTTTGGTCACATTTCTTCCAATTTTGATACTTATGGCAAAATAGCTTCTTCAGAATGTTTATTGTATATTTTAGACCAGAATTTTCATCACCACCTTATGAACAAGTTCACATGAGATAAGACAATTGGTCATGATATGATATAGCATCAGCATGGATGGAATTTTTTTTTTTTTTACAATATAGTAATTTTAATAATTTCTACAATTTCAAGGACGTTTATACCAAATTCTTCGAATGTTATCTGCATGTGAATGAATTGAAATACTTATTCCTTGGTGAACCATCATATTGTTTTATTGCTTCGACTCATTCCTTGAAAAGGGTAAAATTCACGTTGATTAAATATCAAAATAATTTTCAACATATAAGGGCTTAAACTGTTTCTCTTAACAATGTTAACATTTTATGATGAAATTAATCCCAAGATTTAGCATGATATCATAGTTCAAAAAGTTCAAATGATGATATACGAATTTCGAGATTATTGTTTTCAAAGATAGTTCATGTTAATGTAAATCTCTACTTTGATTGTATATGAAATAACCAACATATGAGAATTTAGATTACTCTTAATAAAGTTAACTGAGAAAGTCATCTTTACGCACACTAACCTTTGAAATTGAGTAGGTCCATAGACAGAGTCATCTCATCATAAACTCCAAATCTCAATATTGATAGAAGTCATCTTTACGCGCACTAACCTTTGAAAATTAGTAGGCCCATAGATAGAGTCATCTCATCATAAACTCCAACTCTCAATAGAAGGTGCATAAATGCCTGTAGAGCAGGAAGATTGAACATCTCCCAATCCTTTCTTTGTGGACGGGCTTATTTTCAATCCAGTTAAAACTATCAAATAGTTGTACCTACTTCCTGGTTGTTTTCATCGATCTACCCCTCATTTAGTTTACAACTCATTGCAACTTACATTTCTTTCTATATAATTCCAGCCTAGCCTACCTTAATTCCAGGAGCCTACTGTCTACCTTAATTCCAGGAGTGTGCTTTACTTCCCATGTTCTGCAAACTGCTACTAGACTTCTTCTAGGTAGAGATTGAGTGGTTTGTACTCAAACTCTATAGGCCTTTCCTTTTTTTCTTCTATATATCCTATGTATATTTCCTCACAAAAATATACACAAAACAGAAATTTCCATATGGTATCAGAGCAAATCCTCAATCGGACCTGTCTCTGAATTTTATTTTTTTTCATTCACTACTTTTCTGTCTTCCTGATGGATGAATAAAACTCAATTACTTCTTCCTCTCCAAGTCTTATTGAAGTTGAGGTTAACCCAAATCAAAGACTCGGTTCAGTTTTATTGAATGAGTTTAATTATTTTTCATGGTCAAGAGCTATTTCCCTTGCTCTTGGTGGAAGATCGAAGCTTGGCTATATCAATGGCAGCATAAAAGCTCCAGATGAGTCCTCCTCTACCTATGAGGCATGGTTGTGCAAAGACCAGTTGGTCATGTCCTGGCTTCTGAATTCCATGGAAAAGAAAATTGCTGAAATCTTTAGCTTCTCTACTTCTTCTTGTGATCTGTGGAAAAATGTCAAGGAAATGTATGGCAACTAGAATAATGCTGCTTGTGTTTTTCAAATAAATAGGGATGTTTCAAGGCTCCAACAAGAAGGCAAGTCATTTGTCCAACATCTTGGTGAATTAAGGAATATGTGAATGAGTTAGATGTGTATCGCCTTCATACCGCTGATTCTACCATTCTGTTAAGGAGAGCTGAGGAAGACAAAATATTCCAACTCTTAGCTAGTCTTAGCTCTGACTATGAAGACATGCATAGCCACATCTTAATGAACATCGAGCTTCCCTCCTTTTCAAGCATTTGTACTACAATTCAACGAGAAGAAACCCGTTGGAAGGTGATGAACATTCAAACAAAGTATAATATGCCAGAAACGAGAGCATGTGTGTCAACTCACAAGATTTCTGATGAAAAAAACTACAAAGGTAAGAGACCAGACTTGAAGTGTACATATTGTGATGCAACTGGTCACTCAAAGGAAAGGTGTTGGTTGTTACATCCTGAACTAAAACCAAAGTTCTTAAAGGAGAGAAAGGGTTATTGGAAAAATTCACAAACTTCCATTCACAAAGCTAACCGGGCCGCTGTGTTTAAACCATCAACTGAGGGTCTGATGAATTTCACATCCAATCCTGCAGCCTTGATCAATGAATTTGCTGTTTATCTTCAAAAATAGAAAAATTGGAATGGTAATGGTAATGGTGAGCAAATGACCACTTCTGGACCTAAGAATTCTACTGCCTTACTTGGTAAATTGGCAGGATTTGTTGCTGAGACTGATGGCATATCATCCCATAACATTCCAGGTATTTTAGAGGCTTTCTCTACTGCTCTTCAAGTTAGTCTTGTATATGATTATTTGATAATAGACTCAGGTGCCATAGACCACATGACTAGTCAAAGGTCACATTTAAATGATTTTGAAAAATTGTCCAAACCATCTCAAGACTCAATTGCTAATGGTAAATGTGCTTCAGTTTTAGGGAAAGGAAAAATCAAGTTGATTTCAAAAAATGTAGAGTCAGTTGCTCTTTTATGTTCCTTCACTTCCTTGTCATCTCTTATCTATTGGAAGAATCACAAACTCTTTGAATTGCCTTGCCATTTGTGCACCTCATAATGTCATTTTTGAGGACATTGTCACCAGGAAAAAGATTGGTGATGGTTTTTTACCTGAATGGACTGTACTATCTATCAAAGGATCCTCAAATTTCCAGAAGTTTACAAGTTAGTTCCAGTCCTACACAAGATCAACGTCTTTGGTATCAACGTTTAACTCATCCTTCCGATCTAGTGTTGTCAAAGTTTTTTCCATTTTTTTGTAAAACCTCCATGACTTGTGATATTTGTCACTTGTCGAAGTCTGCTAGGTTGCCTTTCAGCATTTCTATGTCTAAGTCTAGCAAGCTGTTTGAAATTGTACATTCAGACATTTGGGGTCCAATTTTTGAATCTTTTGATGAATACAAATATTTTGTAACTTTTGTTGATGACTACTCAAGGATTACTTGGTTTAAAATTTAAGATTAAATTGTTGAATGCGTTCCAGGGATTTCATCGACTAGTCACCACACAATTTTCAACCACCATTCATACCTTAAGGCTTGATAATGGCACTAAGTATATGTCTAATAACATGTCACAATATTTGAGCATACATGGGCTAAAACAATCTCCTCGTGCCTGGTATGCCAAATTAAGCTCCGTTCTTGAAGCAATTGGGTTCAAACGTAGCAATGTTGACTCCTCTCTTTTTGTTCGTATTAGATCAGTGGGCAAGTTGGTTGTCCTTATTTATGTGGATAACCTTATTATTATCAGTGATAATGTTGATGAAATTGAGGCTCTCAAATGTTCTCTTAGACAAAAGTTTTCCATCAAAGATCTTGGTTTTTTGAAATATTTCCTTGGCATTGAAATTGCCACTTCTTCCAAAGGTTTATTCCTCAACCAAAGGAAATATACTCTCGATTTGCTCCAAGAAGCTGACATGAAGGACATTAACCCTGCTAGAACACCTCTTGATAGCAAACTGACCATGGATATGGGCGGTGATCTTCTTAACAATATGAGCTACTATCAACGTTTAGTAGGTAAACTCATTTACCTCACTATAACCAAACCAGATATCACATTTGCGGTCAGTCTAGTTAGTCAATTCATGCATTCTCCAACTACTGCTCATCTTCAATTGGTTAAGCGCATTCTACGGTATCTCTAGGGCTCTATCGGTCGAGGCATTCTTATGAAAAACAACTCAAACACACAGATTCTTGGCTACAAGGATGCTGACTGGGCAGGGAACTCTCTTGATCACAAATCTACAACTAGTTTTTGTACTTTTGTTGGAGGCAACTTGGTTACATGGAAAAGCAAGAAGCAAACCTTGATTACTCGTTCTAGTGCAGATATTGAATACAGGGCTATGGCTTCCATTGCATGTGAACTTATTTGGCTCAAGGGTCTTCTCTCTGATTTAGGATTTCCTAGTTCTCAACCAATGACTCTTGTGTGTGACAATCAGGCTGCTATGCACATTGTTTCTAACCCTGTTTTTCATGAACGGACCAAACACATCGAGGTTGACTGGCATTACATTCGTGCTCAAGTTCAATCCAAGGTTATTCAAACTTACTACACCCGCAGCCAAGACCAACTGGCAGATAGTTTTACCAAAGCTCTGCCGTTCACTCATTTTCAACGACTGCTTTTCAAGCTTGGCTCAATTAATTCATTTGATCCAGCTTGAGAGGGAGTATTGGAAATCACTCTCTTCTGCAGCCATGTTTATTGCAGCCCAGCCTACCTTAATTCCAGGAGCCTGCTGTCTACCTCAATTCCAGGAGTGTGCTTTACTTCCCATGTTCTGCAAGCTGCTACTAGACTTCTTCTAGGAAGAGATTGAGTGGTTTGTACTCAATCTCTATAGGCCTTTCCTTTTTTCTTCTATATATATCATATGTATATTTCCTCACAAAAATATACACAAGACAGAAATTTCCATACTATATCACTAGTTGCCCACAAAATTCTTAGTTATCTCTCACACTTTGACTTCATTGCATAATATACTCTTTGATTGCCGTGCAAAAGGATCTTTGACATTAGAATTCATAAGATTAGAAGTTTAGACGGTATTTTAATTTTTTTTTGTTGGTAGCTCGAGGCTTTGCCATGTCTCTTGTTTTGCGCTTAGATTATGTGATACTTTTAACTGATATATCTCAAAAGTCATCATTAAAAGAAATATAGAGAATAAATTATATTTATAAATATTATGGATCACCGATGGTAGAACCGAGCTTTATTTCATTGTAAACATACAAACTCATTAAATTGGATTATGAACATCGAGTTAACAGCTTCTTGTTTATTTTTCAGTACACAAACCGGCACTCTTCTTCGAACAATGTAAAATGATGGAATCCA